TCGGCGGCAGTTGGAGATGAAGAGGTCAAGGGAGGGTAGGAGCCCTTGGGGTGGTGTCCATGAGGAGGGGGTATGTTGGAGGTGGGAGAAGGGGTCAGTAGAGGGAGGGTTAGGTTCACGGTTGAAGTAGTAAGCGTGGAGGCGGAGGCGGCGGAAAAACTGCTCTATGTCCAAACGTGAGTGGTATTCGTTGATGTGTGGGTGGAGGGGGACAAAAGTAAGCCCTTTACTGAGGACTGACCGTTCATCCTCAGTAAGGGGGAGGTCTGGGGGGATGGTGAAGACTCGGCAGGGGTGGGTGCTATTGTCCCCTCTGGAGCTGCTGGCTGTGGAGGCTGTGGGCAGAGCGACGTTGGCATCGGCTGTGGGTGGAGTTGTGTTGGCGTCGGCTGTGGGCGGAGTTGCATCGGTGGCGGTGGGCGGAGTTGTGTCCGCGTCGGCAGCAGCGGTGACAGTAGGCGCGACTTCAGTGTCTGTAGTGTTGGTCTCGGAAATGGAGGCAGTGGCATCGGCAGCGATGGCGTTCACTGTCCCAGAAGTGGGGTACCTGGCGGTGGCGGATGTGACGTCATCTGTGGGTTCTCCGACAGTGGCCTCATGGCCAATGGCGGCTGGCACATTGTGGGGAAGGTCCCGGGTAGGGTTGGGGTTTTGGGAGGTGGAGGAAGCCCGTTTTGGGTGGTAAGCACCAGGAAGTATACTGTACTTACGGTTTTTAGTGTCCAATAAAGCTGAGTGGAATTGTGAGTTCAGGTTGTGGGTCCTACGAAGAAGAAGAAACAGGAGAGGTCCTTTGCAGGTCTGGGAGAGGGAGGCTCTGAGCTGGGGTAGGCTTGATTGTAGTGCCTGGAGATGCCGGCGCATTGCTGCAAGTGTGTGTTTCAGGAGTCGTAGGGAGAAACGCTTCTGAAGGACCTCAATGCTATGAATGTAGATATTGTCATGGTTGGGGCCAAATTGGGAAGGCTTGAATGTGGATTGTAGTCCATTGGGGATGATCTGGTTCTGTAGGCAGGTACTAAGAAAGGTGATGTGGCTATAGTACCTGGTTTGCTTCAAGACATGGTCGAGCAGTTTCAAGGCCGAAGAGATTACAAGAGAGTTGCAGTGGGAGAGAGATCCCCTGAGGTTTGTCCGGAGGGAGGAGGGTAACTTCTTCAGGCTAGGCATCCGTAGAAGAGGCTTCGCAGTGGGGTTAAAATTGAATCAGAAATAGTAGGAACTGCAGATGCTGGAGAATCCGAGACAACAAGGTGCAGAGCTGGATGAACACAGCAGGCCAAGCAGCATCTTGGAGCAGGAAGGCTGACGTTTCGGGCCTAGCCCCTTCATCAGAAATGGGGGAGGGGGAGGGGGTTCTGAAATAACTAGGGAGAGAGAGAGTGGGAGGCGGATAGAAGATGGATAGAGGAGAGGATAGGTGGAGAGGAAACAGACAGGTCAAAGAGGCGGGGATGCAGCCAGTAAAGGTGAGTGTAGGTGGGGAGTTAGGGAGGGGACAGGATGAGGTTAGTAGGTAGGAGATGGGGGTGTGGCTTGAGGTGGGAGGAAGGGACGAGCTGGGCTGGTTTTGGGATGCGGTAGGGGGAGGGGAGATTTTGAAGCTTGTGAAATCCACATTGATACCATTGGGCTGCAGGGTTCCCAAGTGGAAGTTAACATTTTAAGGGCGTGGCACAGATGTAATGGGCTAAATGGCCTCATTTTACACCATAACAATTCTGCAAATTGCAGATGGCATTGTTAAAGTACAACATTACAGTGACATTTACTTTGGATAGATTTACAAAATTTCACCAACCCCATCCCCTGCCCCGAACAGCTATCAAATAGAACTCAATGTAACCTAATGGTTTTATCACATTTGTAAAAAAGTGTTTAACAGGCTGTGAAGAAAGTTGACCAACACAAGGTCATAAGAGACTGTATCCAAGTCTGCACCTCTTTTACAGCACAAGCTTTCCAGATAAATAGTTTGGGTTTCACTCATCATCTGATTGCTTATCAGAAATGTAAACCAGGTATCAGTCAAAAAGGGCATTTTCTTTTCAATTGCAAAACAAACTAATCAGTGTACTTTGTGATGGCAGTCAGCAAAGAATATATAATATTAATATAAAATCGCTGTACTTATTGAAGAACAAAAAGCTTCCAGGAGTAGTCAATTCTGATCATACTAACAGTGCTACTATCATGTCAGTGGGAAGCAACTTCATTCCGCAGATGCAAAACAAGATTCCTAGAGGGGGTAGTTTCTCACTAGTTCAGTTTGACATGATCGTTAATTATTATTCCAGTGAAGTGTCAAACAAGGTTTAAAGTGTTTACAAGCTCTTCAGCATACACTCCTCCACGTCTTCAAACGTACGTGTCGAAATATTTAGAACTGTTAGCCACTTACTCACACCATCTAAATATTTAACAATTGATTGCGGTGGGGGGAGGGAACGCCCGGGTAGCAGAACAATCAGCCGGCTATCTCAACAGGCGACTGACTAACTGGATCCACACAGTGGTTACTTATCCGAGCCCATTAGCTGCAGTGTAAATATAGCATCGAATATCAAGGAAGTAAGGGCAGAGTCAGCTGGCAAAGCCTCTCCTCTGGACTCTATACACAGGAGCAGAACATCGGAGATTTTAAAAGTTCCTTACTTGTATGCCCGTGACCCATATCCTAAACTGCTGCTCTTAAAAAAAACAAACAAAACCCCAAAATAAACATTTTAAATCTTCCCGCGCTATATTTTATAAGCAACCGATATGTCAATAATCGACATGCATTGTTAGGCACAACACCAGTATGAATCATAAAAGTTTGAGTTCATGGGCCTCTACCGTATGTCAGAACGATAAATAAACGCAAGACCCTGAAGAATAACACTTGCGCCAAAGCTGGTCCCAGGTATCAGAACTCAGCTGGGAGTGTGTGATTTCATACCTGCACCTCTTCAGCTGGGCTCTCCAGCTGCTGCTCCCTGTACAGAGACCACAACCCGACGTTCGGGAGGAACACTACAGTTAGAAGGATTAAGCCAGCCACCTGAAGAAGTCTCTTTTGCCTTCGCCTCATCTCCCAGTGCCGGTTGAACAAGAGACTTTGCAATCAGTAATAATGTATCGAACTTTCTCCCTGCAGCTCCTCGCAAATGCTGAACCAGGGACTTCCGCCGGCTGCTACCATTATCCTGATGGGGGAGATCTCGAAACTCTTAACATTCAGTCACCAAACTATTTGTCTAATTTCCTTTCGGGTCGATAGTAATTACTTAACATCTACATTTGAACAATTTAGATTAAAAGCTATAACTTCAGTAATTTTGTAACTGTATATTTCACAGGCAAACACCCTCAGACGGCTTGAATCGTTCCTCCGAGTAGGTTGTGACTGTAGAACCCGGAGTATCAATGAGTCCCAGGCGAAGGCAACGTGTTCAAATTGCTATTTGTCAATTTAAGATCCACAGGGATTAGCTTCAGACTGGAATTCAAACGGTGGGAGGGTGCGACTTTATGTCGTCTTTCTGTAGAAATATATATGCAGGGAGGGAAAGTGTTAACGTTGTCAATAAGCGCAGGTATTTTAAATGCGAAGTTCAGTGTCCTCTCGAACCACTGTTTTGTCAAAAACAATTCATTCTTGTCTTTGCATTTCACAATTGCAAACCCAAGGCAAAAATGATCTTGGAATATTGTAGAATAAGTCAATTGGTACTGCAAGCATAATTTCAATCTCGGTCATATAGTGGTGGCCCTATTAAGCCCACATTCTTCATAATTTCAAATCTTTTTCAGGCAATAATCACTGAATATTTATCGGCACAAATAGGGACTTATTCTGTTATTGCTTCGTGGTAGTGCTGCCGACCCCAACTTGAGTCAGCAGACCAGGTGATGGGAGTGGTGCAGGTCCTCTACAGAAGCCGTTGTGTCAGAATTCTGGCTCGGATATATTTCAATTTGTCCGACCATAGATTTAAGAAAAAAAAGACGCCAAATCTTAGTGTTTACGGACTAAAACACGGATGCGATCTGTGCGAATACTCAGATATTTAATGCTGCTGCTATAATTACATCCGTGTACAAAAATGCCGCTAGAATATTGAACTCAGACTTCCTCATATGACCGGAGTAGGGCCCGACCCCAAACGTCAACTTTCCTGCTCCTCTGATGCTGCCTGGCCTGCTGTGTTCCTCCAGCTCCACACTGTGTTACCTCTGACTCCAGCATCGGCAGTTCTTACTAGCTATGAGGGACTTTATTTTGTTTATTGACTTCATTTTTATTCTTCACGAACTTCACGGTTAATGTAGTTGTTCAAGCGGCCGACAGGTGGTTCACTTGTACCAATCGGATTAGAACTATTGCTTCAATCTTTAAATTTCCTCAAATTTTCAAGTTCAAACGAGGGTGAAGGAAGGTTTATTTTAACTCCTTAATCCCTGTCCGGTATAACCATTACATTCTGCCTTGGTTGCATCTTGTTTTTTTTAGTTATTACAGGGGTAAGTCTCTGTGCTGTCCTGTTCGAGAGCCCGTTCTAACTGTTGATCGCTCTGCATGCAGAAAGACTTCCTGCTATCAATCATAAACCCCGATCGAAAACGATTTCCTTTCACTCCGTGTTGTGAAATTCTGAAGTGACTAGAGCCGCAAAGCCTGCCACTAGTCGGGGAAGGAGCTTGCTTTGGGACTTTGATGTCAGACATTTAGATAATGTGAAACAAAAACAGAACTTAAGTTTTAAGATAACTATGAAAAGGATGTCAGGACCTTGCGGGAAGGAACTAAAGTTGGGGGAGGGCAAATTATGTCAGTATTAGCCAGGAGCTGGGGAGTGTTAAATGGGAGGAGCTGTTATCAGGCAAGTCCACATTTGACACGTGGGAACTGTTTAAAGACCTGCTGGGGAGAGTTCAAGACTAGCATGTTCCAGTAAGGAGGAAGGATAAGGATGGCAAGGTAAGGGACTCTTGGATAACCAGGGAGGTTGTGATTTTAGTCAAAGGGAAAAAAAGAAGCATATGTAAGGTTTAGGAAGCTAAAATCAGACAGGGACTGTGAGGAAAATGAGAAAAGCAGCAAAGTACTCAAGCAGGGAATTAGGAGAACAAGAGGCCATGAAATGATCTTGGCAAGTAGAGTTAAAGAGTATCCCAAGGCTTTCTATAGATACATTAAAAATAAGAGAATATCTAGGGAGAAGGTAGGACCACTCAAAGATAGAGGGAACTTGTGCTTGGAGGCAGAGAATGTGAGTGAGATCGTAAATGAGTACTTTGCATCGGTATTCACCCAGGAAAAGGGTATGGAGGATAGTGAGATTTGTGTGGAGCATCCTAATATGCTAGGGCATTTTTGAGATCAATAAAGAAGTGGTGTTGGATCTCTTGAGGAGCATTAAGGTGGATAAGCCCCAGGCCATTGAGAGAGCCAAGAGAGGAGATTACTGAGGCCTTGACCAAGATCTTTGTATCCTTGCAAGCCACTGGAGAGGTCCCAGAGGACTGGCGAGTAGCTAATGTTGTTCCTTTGTTCCAGAAGGGAAATAGGGATGATCTAGGAAACTACAGACCAGTGAGTCTCACATCAGTGGTTGGGAAGCAGTTGGACAGAATTCATAGGGATAGGATTTACGCACATTTGAAAAAGCATAGCCCAATTAGGGATGGTCAGCATGGCTTTGGGCAGGGCAGATCATGCCTTACTAACTTGATTGAATTTTTCAGGGAGGTGACAAAGGTGATCGATGAGGGTAGAGCAGTGGATGTTGTTTACATGAAGTTTAGTCAGGCTTTTGACAAGGTACCTCATACTAGGCTCATCCAGAACATTAAGATGCATGTATCCACAGTGACTTGGCCGCGTGGATTCAGGATTTGCGTGCCCATACAAGTTACAGGGTATTGGTGGAAGGGTGTTTTTCAGGCTGGAGGTCCTTGACTAGCGGTGTTTCACAGGGATCCATGGGAGCTCTGCTGTTTGTAATATATATAAATGACATAGATGAAAATGTAGATAGGTGTGTTGGTAAGTTTGCAGACAATACAAAGATCGGTGGTCTGTGGATAGTGTAGAAGGTTGTCAAAGGATACAGCGGGATATGGATCAGTTGCAGACGTGGGCGGAGAAATGGCAGATGTAGTTTAATCTGGGTAAGTATGAGGCACTGCACTTTGGGAGATCAAATGTTAAGGACAAGTATACAGTTAATGGCAGGACTCTAAACAGCATTGATGTACAGAAAGATCTTGGGGTTCAAGTCTATAGTTCCTTGAAAGTAGCCACACAAGTAGGTAGGATGGTAAAGCATGAGTATGTCATGCTTGCCTTTATTGGTTGAAGAATTGAGTACAAGAGTCAGGATGTCATGTTGCAGCTTTATAAGACTTTGGTTAAGCCACACTTACAGCATTGCATTTAATTCTGGTCGCCACAACACAGGAAGGATGTGGAAGCTTTGGAGAGAGTACAGAAGAGGTTTACCAGGATGCTGCCTGGATTAGAGAGGATGAACTACAAGGAGAGGCAAGAAAATCTTGGGTTGTTTTCTTTTGAGCAGCACAGGCTGAGGGAGACTTAAAAGAAGTCTATAAAATTATGAGATGCATAGATAGGGTTGACGGTCAGATTCTTTTTCCCAGAGTTGAAATGTCTAATACTAGGGGGCATGCATTAAGGTTAGAGGAGGAATGTTCAAAGGAGACTTGAGGGGCAAGTTTTTGCTGTGCAGTAGAAGTCTGGAACGCACTGCCGGGTGGTGATGGAGGCAGATATGAAAGGGGCATTTAAGGGACATTTAGATAAGCACATGAATGTGCAAGGGATGGAGGGATCTGGACCAGTGGTAGGCAGAAATGATTAGTTTCATTGGCATCATGTTTGGCACAACATTGTGGGCAGAAGGACCCGTTCCTGTGCCGTACAGTTCTATGTTCTGTGTTCTATGTTATAAGTTGCTGAGAAAGCTCAGCAGGTCTGGCAGCATGTGTAAAAAGAAATCAGAGTTAACATTTCGGGTCCGGTGACCCTTCCTCAGAACTGATAGTAGGTCAGTTTAAATACAGAAGATAGGGTGCGAGAGGGTGTCAGAAGTGGGGAAAGAAAGAGAAAAACAGTTGGACAAATAAAGGAGTGGATAACGATCTGGCTAGGAGGGTGAATAGCTGTTAATGAAGACTGTTAGTGGCTAACATTAGGTAGTGTGTAGTGGTGAACTATGGCCTGGTGTGTGGGGTAGGGGGTTAGGACATAGGAGAGTTCAGGCCCTAAAATTATTGAACTCACAGATGCTGCCAGAACTGCTGAGCTTTTCCAGCAACTTCTGTTTTTGTTTCTGATTAACACCATCCACAGTTCTTTTGGTTTTTATTCAGATAATGTGGCCCATCCAGCCAATAACCAGTGCCTCAATACTGGAAATGTTGGCCCAAGAGCAGACACTGATATTAGACTGTCTCTGCTGCTATTGGATTTACAGGAGTTTGTGGAGTCACTGATATTTCTCTAGGGAGTTTGAAGTGTCTGCTATGCATTATGCATTGAAACATGGACTGAAAACAAAGGGGCCTGCAACATTGCTGTTTTGTAGACCATGAGCTTAATGACATGCCTGAGGTGGTCTTCATCAAAATATTCTTTTGTTTGTACACTTTAGGCGATGTTGAATTTCACTGTCCATGCCTACCCTCACATAGAAGAGCTTCAGAAATTTTCCATCAAATGCTTATGAAAGTACATGAACAATAACTTGGAGCGAGGCCTCTGATTATTCATGTACACACGCATCATGTGCATATTGCAGCTGAACAACCGATATTGAGGAGTTATTGATTCTGGAAGGAAGGAAGGTTGAACAGTTTGCTACATTTTACTCTAGGGAGCACCACTCCAGTAGAAAGTTTCACAGACATGGGGTTGAGGAATGAAAATGGAGAAGAGAGTTGGTGCAATGATCTGGCCTTGCTTGACCCCTGTTTGCACATGTATTAGGGCTGTGGTGGATCTGTTACCAAGTATCATGGCTTGTACTCCAATGAATGCAGCAAGAATAGTGATGAATTTCTGCAGGCAACCAAAATTTGCAAAGTAGGGTAGCCCCTACCCATTGCTAGAGTTGAAGGTTGTTGTGAGGTCAAGGGAAAGCCATGTGTACAAGTTGCTGCTGCTCTGAACTTTTCTTACATTTACTTGTTGTGAAGATCACATCCCCTGTGCCTCTTGATGGATGAAATCCACATTGTGACTATTTGGAGCCTTTTAGCCAATGGAAGGAGACGATTATTTTCCCCTGTTTGTTTTGAAATAGCATTCAGGATGCACCTTACTTCACTTTATCTCCTCATGCCCTTTCTAAGATCATCTCATTTCAAGCCTTCTTGACACCATTCCCACAAAATTGTGCTAGATAATTGCAACTGAATTAAGTAGTAAAAAGGCCTTTTAAAAAGAGCAAGTATCAGTTAAAACATTTTTGATATAGAGACATTGAAAGAAAATTCAGGAAATATGTAAAGAATCTTGCTCAGGTTATTTTAAGGAACATCTTTAAAAACAAAATGAAAATTGAGACTCATAAGGAAGAAATTCCAGAGATTCTGGCCAAAATAGCAGAGATCATGGCCATTAATGGAATGATTAAGAACAGGAATGAACAAAAAAAAACAGAAATGGCAAGTGGCAGAGATCTAGAAGGCTTTGAATGGCTGAGGGAGGTAATAAAGATTTGGAAATGGGAGGCTATTGGAATGCTTTGGGAAAAAAATATCAGGTGCTTTTGAGCCAGAAAAGATCAGATAAGTACAGGATTATGATTCCCGGCCGGAAATGTCGAAATGAATCATCCATTTGACAACACCAAGGCCCTCCACAGTACGGATAACAATATGATTCACTGCACATGATATTAAGAACCTTAATATCGCAAGAACCTTAAATATTAAGAAATGGCTGAAGACACTAGCTACTGAAAAGGTTGTTCCCAATATCCAATCTGTGGTACTGACGGCATGCTCCAGAAATAGTTGTGTCCTTAGCCAAGCTGTTTCTGCACTGCTCCATTTGTATTATTTACCCAACAATATGGAAAAAGGCTCAGGAAATTTCTGTCTTCAAAAAGCATGACAAATCCAATCCATTTAAGTGATTATAGTGGTCATTGACAGTACTATCAAATGGCTGTTTCTCCGGACAGCCTACCTCACTGAAGTTTCACTAGGGTCACTCAGCT